CTTCTGCCAAAGCCCACGCTGCTACTATTAATGGGACAAATATTGGGCCTGGTCATATTGGGCCAGGACTTACTGATTCTAAAATACAATTTGGCTCTTATGGTGGAAATTCTGTCCCGGCATCTACAGGTTTGAGCCCGGATCAATGGCAGGCGCTAGTCAATCTCGTGCGCCCTAATAATTCTGATACTACCATTTCTAATCATTTGTCCGGTAAGGATTATTCTCGTAGTTGGATGTATTATTGTGGTGCTACACATCACATGACTGGATTTTTTCAGTATCTTGTTGATATTTGTGATATTTCACCTCGACCAGTGCAACTTCCTGATGGCCAGTTGACTGTTGCGACTAAATCCGGCAGAGTTCGCCTTAGTCAAAATTTGGTCTTGATTAATGTTTTGTTTGTTCCTAGTCTTAAATGCAGTCTTATCTCGTTATACCATTTGTTAGACGATCATGGGTGTATAGCCCAATTCACTAATGTTGATTGTCTAATACAGGACCGTACTACGAGGACGGTGATTGGTCTGGGTGAACAAAAGGGGGGGTTATATTTCTTTCGTGATCCTATGAAGACGGTGGCGGCTAGGGTATCTGTTGGTGGATCCGTGGACTTGTGGCATCAACGATTGGGTCACCCACCTCCGCAGGTTATTGGAAAGATTTGTGACTTATCTTATAGTCCTGGTAGTAGTATTACGAATAAAGCTTGCGATGTCTGTTATCGTGTCAAGCATACTAGAGACTCATTTCCTTTAAGTTCAAGTACTAGTTTGGAACCTTTTGCTTTAATTCATTGCGATTTATGGGGTCCTTATCGAGTCCCCTCATTCTCTGGAGCTAGATATTTTTTGACAATTGTTGATGATTTCTCTCGTGCTGTGTGGCTTTATTTGTTGGATGACAAAAGCTGTGTTTTTGCTACTTTGACTAGTTTCTTTGCCATGGTCCAACGACAGTTTAATAAATTGGTGAAGGTTGTTCGAAGCGATAATGGGACTGAGTTTATGTGTCTCACTTCATATTTTCGGGAACACGGTATTTTACATGAGACATCTTGTGTTGCAACCCCCCAGCAGAATGGTCGAGTGGAACGCAAGCATCGCCATATTCTTAACGTGGCACGCGCTCTGCGTTTTCAGGCCAATTTGCCCATTCAATTTTGGGGACACTGTGTCTTGACTGCCGGTTATTTAATCAATCGTACCCCCACTGACGTCCTACGTGGGAAGAGTCCTTATGAAGTTCTCTTTGGAAAAACGCCCTCTCTCACGCATCTTCGTGTTTTTGGCTGCTTGTGTTATGTTCATAATTTGGATCGTTCGGGTGATAAATTCGCTAGTCGTAGCAAAAAGTGCATTTTTGTAGGCTATCACTTTGGGAAGAGAGGCTGGTCTGTTTTTTATCTTTATACTCGTCAGTTTTTGGTCTCTCGGGATGTTAAATTCTGTGAGAATCAGTTCCCATTTTCTACGCCAACTTGTTTTGAGGCTGACTTCGTTCCGCATTCTTCTTCTACACCGTGGCCTATTATTGATGATGAGTCCTCATCTGTGCATGATACTGTACCGGTAGTTTCTCCCGATCCCACGACCTCATCTCCTTCTGGGCCTACTTTAGTCAGGGGGGGCTCTGACCCTATGACGTCTACTGAGCTCTTGGGTCGTGGTCATCGGACAAAATTTCCTTCCGTCAGGCTCCGCGATCATGTCACCAACACTATTATTTCCCTCCCTATTCACTCTCCGACTACTTCACCGTCCTCAGGTACGCCATATCCTTTAGCTCATTTTGTTGATAGTACTGCTTTCTCATCCGCCCATAAGATTTTCTTGGCAGCTTTAGAGGCCTCTGACGAGCCACGAACCTTTACCGAGGCCATGGTCAATTCTAATTGGCGTTCTGCCATGCAGTCTGAAATTGAGGCTCTCGAAAATAACCAAACCTGGAATCTTGTTCCACTTCCTCCTGGTAAAAATGCCATTGGATGTAAATGAGTGTACCGCATTAAACATCGGTCTGACGGGTCTATTGAACGCTATAAAGCTCGCCTGGTTATCCTTGGCAATAAACAGGTTGAGGGTGTTGACTATACTGAGACATTTGCTCCCGTCGCCAAAATGGTGACTGTTCGAATCTTTCTGGCCATTGTTGTTGCCCGACAATGGGAGTTACACCAGATGGATGTTCACAATGCATTCCTCCACGGTGATCTTGCTGAAGAGGTATATATGAAATTGCCTCCTGGTTTTCGGTCTCAGTCTTCTAATCTTGTTTGCCGTTTGAAGCGGTCTCTATATGGCCTTAAGCAGGCTCCCCGGTGTTGGTTTGCGAAACTAACCACGGCACTTCGCCAATATGGTTTCCTTCAATCTTATGCTGATTATTCTCTTTTTACCTTGCGTCGTGATGGTGTTTAGATGCATGTTCTCGTGTATGTTGATGATCTAATCATCTCCGGGAATAACAGTGGGGCTATTTCTTCTTTTAAGGCTTACTTACATCGTTGCTTTCATATGAAAGATCTCGGCATTTTGAAATACTTTCTGGGACTGGAAGTCGCTCGCAACTCTTCTGGCATTTTTTTGTGTCAGAGGAAGTATACCCTCGACATATTGTCTGAGGTTGGTCTTCTCGGGGCCAAGCCGGCCTCATTCCCACTAGAGCAAAATCATCAGCTTCCGCTTGTTACTGGTGCCCAACTCTCGGATCCACAAAGATACAGGCGTTTGGTAGGAAGACATTTATCTTGCTGTCACCCGACCAGAGTTATCTTATTCTGTTCATGTGTTGTCTCAGTTTATGCACAACCCTCTCCAGGCTCATTGGGATGTTGCTCTTCGGGTTGTGCGCTATTTGAAAGGTACTCCTGGTCAGGGCATTTTCTTCTGCGCTGATTCTGATTTACGTCTCACTGCTTGGAGTGATTCTGATTGGGCGGGTTGTCCAACTACGCGGCGTTCTCTTACTGGTTGGATCATCCAACTTGGATCTTCGCCCATCTCGTGGAAGACAAAGAAACAATCTACTGTTTCTCGCTCTTCGGTAGAAGCAGAATACCGCTCCATGGCTTCTACTACTTGTGAGCTAACATGGTTGAAGTCCCTTTTGGGAAGTTTTGGTGTTGATCGTTCGTATCCAGTGTCTCTCCATTGTGACAGTAAGGCAACCTTGCATATTGCCTCTAATCCAGTGTTTCATGAGCGTACCAAACACATTGAGATTGACTGTCACTTTGTTCGTGATGCACTCTTGAAAGGTCTTACTGCTCCTCATTATGTTTCTTCCTCGGCTCAGCTGGCAGATATCTTTACTAAAGCCTTGGGTGGACAGGAATTCACGAACTTTCTCGGCAAGTTGGGCATTCGGAATCTTCATGCACCAACTTGAGGGTGGGTGTAACAGATGGAAGATCAGTTAATTATGGACAATATTTCCTTATAGCTATATTTGGTATCTAGATATTTGATTTGATATGTTTTCCATCTCTTGTAATCTCTATATATACTCTGTACTCTCTTCTACGATCAATACACAAAAATCATCTTCTTTCTATTGTCATGTTCCCTCTTATGATTTTAGCAATGTGAACATTTTATTTAAGTAATAAACAACTAATTTTTGGATTTATCTTTCATAGTAGTACCTTTAGCATTTGAACCTTATACATATTAGAAAGGTAAACGAGGTGAATCAATAGAGTTTTTATTGAGCTTGACTCACTATTAATATTAATGAGTCGAACTTGAGTTAAAGAATTAGAAAAATATGTGCAAATCCCTATTTTCGAGCCTTTATGAAGCTAAAATTTTAGAAAACTATGCAATCGGGTTTACGAGTTGCTTTTTCGTTTAATAGCTCTAGTACAGATTATGTTCCTCAGTGATTGAAATAACAATGGAGGGCATATTTAATAAAAAAAAAAAAACATATTTAAAAAAAAAAAGAAAAAGAAAAAACTTATTTCCAAACTTAACGACCTCCAGGCTCCAAATCGAGTTTGACTCGATTCATTCATTTCTGGCATTACTCATGATTTTTTTTTTTTCGAAACGATAGATGTATTAAAAATCAAAAAGCACAAATGTGCGAATACACAACAGCCAACGGCTGAATACATAGCAACCAACAGCTGAATAAAAAAGAGAGGACAGGTCCTATGATCTCCCAGATCAGACCGCCTAGATCCGACCCCAACAGGGTAATAAAAAAAAACAATACAAAAAATACAACACCACACAGAAACCCCAACAGGGTAATACACAGAGACCCCAACAGGGTAATACACAGAGACCCAACAGGGTAATACCTGAGTGTCGAACCCCAACAGGGTAATAAAGTGACACTCAGGCTGACATAGGCCAACTTGCCCAAACCAAAAACACATCAACAAAAAACACATCAAAAACACAGATCTGACAACAAAATAAAACAAAAACAAATCCTATCCAAGCCCTTCCTAAACAGCGACATCGAACCAACCCAGCAGAAACAAGTCAACCACATATCCCATAGCCAAAAGTATCGACCCCGAAACTGCCAAACCCACTCGGGTGCCTAACGGAGAGAAAACCCCAACCACGGGACCATAGAAGGCCGACTCAGACCACGACCGCATCACTCAAGAGCACCAATCGGCCAATAGAATGTCACGACCCCAGCCCTGACCAAAAACTCGCCTGGAAGAGTCCAATCGACCACCGCCCCGCCGCAGCCGCATTACTCATGATTCATGGCTTCAATTCTGTTGGATTCATCGGTGTGATTGGACATATATTTGATCGGTAAAAAATTAATCAATACTCAAATTTAACTTAATTTTAACATAATCTCGCAATCCTCAATATCATTGTTATAATTAAATAATATCAACCTATCATTCTTACATATCACATCAAATTTAATTCACTATTCGTCCACTCATTAATTAATCATCACTTCCAATCAATTTTCTCTTATTTTATATCAATCAACTTTAATTATTTTATTTAAAATATTATTTTAATTTAAACTTAAATTCCACTACCAAACCATATCATCTTTCACGGGTGTTCCCTAATAATTGAAATGTCAATATAGGGGCATTTCTGTCAAATTACCCACCAGCACCACCCTCATTATCCAATTTTTGTCACACATCTGCCATTTTTGTAGCTTCACTTTCTCGTCAACTGCAAGAGAATTCCACTCCAATGGCGTCTAATGATCATCACGAGCACCACCACCACCATCATCCTCATGAGTATTCTGCTAATTTTCTCCCCAATATTTTTACAAATTATTTTTTATTTTTTATTTTTTAAATCCCGAATCAAATGTTACAGCTTTTAAGCTCTTCTTGCACCATTGAAGCAGGGAATCATGGGTCGGGCCAGATGGGAAAGTTTATCATAGCCACGATGGGCTGGCGCCACACTCGCACGAGCCCATTTACTCGCCGGGCTTCTTCAGCCGAAGGGCGCCTCCGCTTGTGAACAGGGACTTTAAGGAGAGAGCTTTTACAGTTGGTATCGGCGGCCCTGTTGGGACTGGGTATCTTCTCAATTTTGTTTTCTGTTTATTTATTTAAGAAAAAATGAAACTTGTGAGTGATGAGTGAGAAATTTGTTGGTGCTGTGATTATTCAAGCCGAGGAGCTTCGATTTTCATAAATGCTTTTATTCGTTATCATTGTGCAGAAAAACAGCTTTGATGTTAGCTTTGTGTGAAATGCTGAGAGACCAGTACAGTCTTGCTGCTGTAAGTATAATGCCTCTCTATCTTTTTTACTTGTAGATAATGTGCTTGCGTTATTGCTTCAATAGCCCGTGGCGCATATCGAGTTGTGATATATCACATTTATCTTCCTGTCTCAAATGTAAAAATACGAGCAGAATCGAAAAACGCGATAAGCAATATTATTGTTTACCAAGCTTCAAAATTACCTATGCGAACGGTTATCTTCTCGGAAGTAGTTTTGACAAGGGGTTTTTACAAACCTCAAACATTTTTTGGGTTTTGTTTTAAGGTGACAAACGATATATTCACGAAAGAAGATGGGGAGTTTTTGGTAAAGCATGGGGCCCTTCCGGAAGAAAGGATTCGTGCTGTTGAAACGGGAGGCTGCCCTCACGCGGCCATTCGAGAAGATATCAGCATCAATCTTGGGCCTCTTGAGGAGCTTTCTAATTTGTACAAAGCTGATATTCTCCTTTGTGAATCTGGTGGAGGTATTTTCTCGACTCGGATAATAAGTTGCTTCTTTCGATTTTTGATATGGTGCATTCTGAAAAAAATTCTCTTTTTTCTTTTTCTTTAGAATGCTTGTGTCTTTTCTTCAGAAGCTAAAGTAAAGGTAGTTGAAAATCAAAATAACCTTTGCAAGCCAAGCTATTAGTTGACAGTTTAAAGATGGAGCAACTTAAATTAGCAGTTGGCGTTTAAAAAACACTGAAAGCTTTATACCTTTCTTTAGCTATGAATGGTGTGATTATGGCAACTACCCTTGAGGTTTGGGGTGATATCTAAAAGCCCGGTAGGGTTTTGAAATTACACAGTCTATTCTGTAGCCATTTCATTAAAGAAAGAAGTAGAAAAATT